TTGTTTACTTGTTATTTTTCTTCTCCCCTTCTAGATCGTAAGCTTCATGAGTGCAGGGACTGTGTCTCTTACTCACTGCTCTATTCCCCTGTCAAGAACAATGTTTGGCACAGAGCAGGCCCTTGATAAATACTGCTTTTAATAAATGGATGAATTTTTAAAAAAACTAACACATAGAAATCTGCCAAAGTTTATGGTTTGAAGACGTATAATTTTCTTGTCTAAAATCTCCAATAGCAAAACAGAATTTTAAATTTAAATAAGAGCTTATTCTAGCATATTTGACTCAGAAATAACCAGATGTGTTTAATCCTATTAATTATCCTCTATCACAGGTAAATATTTTTGCTTACCACATGTACACTTTAACCTAGTTATAGTAACATAATAAGGGATTAGATTCCTGATTCAAGTTGCCAAGTGTCATGTTTTTATATAAAACAAACCCTTAGGAGTTTGGAAGGGAGCCCAATAGACTCACAGTTCAAAGCTTCCAGATCCACTTACATGTGGTAGCACTAAGGAAAGGCTATCCTTCAGATTATTCCTATGGACAGCCTAGAAAGCCAGGGTTTTTCCCCCAAACTCTTCAATTGCAATCCAGTGAAAATAAAGTGTATAGGGAAAATGTTCAAGGTAATCAATACAGCCTCTTTAAAGGACAAATACTTTCAAAACCACAAGGAGCAGGGTATACATTTCTGGTCAGTTCTATTTCTAGATTCAGCAATTTGGAGGTTTTTTAGGGGTTTGCCAGTATTTTCATTAGTAAATTCTTAGAGTTGGAAGGAAAGGGTCTTACACCACCACCCTTGCTGGCACTACTACAGAGGTTAGTAGCAGAGCAAGTTAAAAGGCTCAGTGCCTGGAGCTCCCAAAGACGTTGTTGTGTTGCATCACGGCCAGCCCAGAACAGGAGAGGAGAGCTGCAGGTGCTGGGACAGGTCAGGGCATATGCAGAACACAAGACCCTAGGCAGCAATGAGGAACACTCAAAAAGCAAGGCACACACCCTTCCCTTGGATCTTTTCATCCCCTCTGCTTCTTACATTGTGGTTTGTAAAGTCCTGGGGATATAAGAGATCAAAACTACTTCCATAATAATGTTTAAAGAAAGATTTGCCTTTTTCACTATATGGGCATTTATTGATGGTGCAAAACTAATACTGGGTCAGACTGCCAGCACCTTAGTACAAGTCAAAGCAGTGGCACCAAACTACCCAATAGTCACATTTTTCACCAACACAAACTCACAGGACAGAAGGAAAGAAAGTAAGCCAGTTTTACTTAAGAATGTCTTTCTTTTCATTCATTCATTTCATTAAATCTCAACACTTCAAGGCAGGTCTTGGTAATACCTTGACAAACTGAGGAGTACACAGAAGCACTTTTGCTCCATACTGAGGTAGAATGGGTGCCACCAAGAAAAATGTTTGTGTTATTGTTTGAGTTACAAGCTGAACTAACCTTTTTTTTTTTTGATGAAACACCATTTTTACTTGAAAAAGCACTTATTCAAATTTAGGAATTTGGCAGGTGTTTTCTTGAAAATGAACAAAATGAGACTGTTATTTCGAAGAAAACATCTGGCAATATTTGTTGCCAAGTAGCTTTTAAGAAACTACCTCTTGCTGAGATCTGAAGTAATATCGACAATTGTCAAAAAAAAAAAAGCAACTAAAATATTCCTCCCTTGTCCAACTACATACCTCTGTGACACCAGATTTTCTTCACATACTTCAGTGAAAACAAAATCTACTAGATTGAGTGCAGGAGCCAATATAAGAATCCAGTTTGTCTTATATTAAGTCACACATTAAGAAGATTTGCAAAAAATATAAAACAGTGCCATGCTATAGAATATTTTCTTATTTTGGGAAATAAATATGTATTTTATAAAATGGGTTATTTATGTTACCTATAATGGGTTTACTATTTTCAAATGAATTGATATTAAATATTTTAAGTGTCTCAGTTTTGATTTCTAGTATAGTTAATATTTATAAATATAACACACCAAAACAAAAGCTCTTTGGGATCCTCAATAATTTTTAAGAGTGTAAAGGAGTCCCAGGACCAAACTCGGTATAGTAGATAGTTATAACAGAAATGTGTACTAGAAATATATAATAGAACATGTAATAGAAATAGAAAAACGTATAATAGAAATATATAATAGAAATGCAAATCCTGCATTTCTAAAGCATATATCATATCATTTTCATTCTGCCACAAAAAAGATAGTTTTAATATACAGTTAAAGTAAAAATTCTAAAAGCAAAGTCCAGGTTGCCACCTAGTATGTCCTCACAGTAACCAGTGACTTGTAGGACATAAAAAGCTGTCAGGAAGCAGAGGCAGGGGGGCTGGTGGCTCAGGAAAGAGCCAACAGTGACCAGACTGAGGGATAAGAAAAAGCATAAGGGGATAAAATGCTTGATTGCTTTATGGACCTGTCTGGGTGCAGAGATCTGAACAATGAGAAATGAACTCTGGCACAAGATAACTTGTTATGATAAATTTGTGTTTTCCCTTCTGTTTTTTTGCTTTTGAGGTCTTCATTCATGTGAGTACAAGTTCTGTGCTCCCTTGCCTCAAGGAAAGTTTGAGATTAGAATTTCTAAATTTTGTTTCAAAAGACATTAAAGAGAATCTAGTTAAACCTGGGGAGGAGTATCCCCTGTCTAAAATGAGGGTCTCTCTGGCTTGGGGGAAGAGTCAAAGTCTAGGATCCCCTATGTCCTGCCTTACTCCCTGCCAGTGCCTCAAGGACGCAGCAGGACCTCAGAGAGACTGGCCATCAATGCGCCAAGAGGGACAACTTTGGCCTAGCTTCACCAACCACAGGAATGGTTTCTGTTGGGGGACACAGTGGGCTGGTGCATGGCAGTAAAAGAATTTATCAAAGACAAAGAATGAAAATAGAAAAGGTTTATTAGGTTATGCTGCCATAGACAATAGTGGGCCACACAGATAACGGGTGCCTGTGTGAGCACTGAGGGTCACTTGTTGGGGTCTTTCATAAAGTAGGGTCACAAAGTGCCTGATTGGCTTGTGCACACGTCTCTGATTGGTTGTAGGTGAGGTAAGAAGTTTAGGGTCTGTGAAGGGCGGTAGGGTTTATGACTCTGATAAGGTGTGTTGAAACAAACCAGCCTGAGCTATTGTGAGATTAGGCATTACCTTAGGGCTATTAGTTTGTTAGGGCAAACACTCCCAGTAAAGAATGTACTTTATCTGTTAAGGAATTACAGGCAGACATCTGAGAGCCCAGGAATGAGGGTTGTTGGACTTTGAAGGACACCAGTTGGCCCCACAATTCCCATGCTCCAAAAGTGGCACAAAGGCCACAAAGGGGAAGCTCTTAAAGGACTACAAAAGGAGAGACAGTGGCATCTCAGCAGTAACCTGTGTGGCCAGATGGACATCTGAGGTATCTCAACTCTGAGATCTCAACTCTACTTGAGAGCCTGGAACCTTGACACAACCTCCATGGGAAACCCCAAGAACGAGGAGTTGAATCCTTCTCCAGCCCTTTGGAATGTGGGGAGAGAGTCAAAGTTAACTACTGAATTAAAAGTAGAGATGTCTGAATATTATTTGGCAATAGAGAGGAATGAAGTAGTGATACATGCTACAACAAGGATGAACCTTAAAAACATTATGCTAAGTTAAAGAAGTCAGTTGTAGAAGGCCATATGTCTAGATGAGGCAAGTCTATAGACAGAAGGTTGGTTAGTGGTTACCTGGGGCTGGGATATAAGGGATAAATACGGAAGAGTAGATGATTTTTTTGGAGAGGGGTGATGAAAATGTTACAAAACTAATTGATGGTTGTACAACTCTGTGACTATACTCTCAAAGTTGAATTTTATACTTTAAATGGGTGAATTGTATGGGAGTTATATCTCACGAGAGCTGTTACCAAAAAAAAGTAGAGAAGTATGATATCTCTTGCCCACCTTAGTTGTGCCCTGAGATTCATACCCGTTTTAGGTGTGTGATGCTTTACAAAGTTATTTTATGAGGTCGCATCAAGCTGAGGTAGTAACTTTTTGAACACATACACTGGACTGGCTCAGGACCTAGTCAGAAAGCCCACAGCACAAGCACTAGGGAAAGGTGCTGCAGAGGGCAGAACATGGGCTCCAGGGAACATGGCAGGGGAAAGGGGCAACAAGTGGTCTCAGCAAGTGATCTGGAAACAGACATGCTCAGGGCGCTGTCTTGGGGAGCACCAGAGGAAGCAATGTTCAGAGATTTGAGAAGACAGCCAACATTAGGAACATCATTGGCAGATTGCAAGGCCCCAGCTTAGAGAAGGGGTCCAGTGGCAGAGTCCTGCCCCAGCACATGATTGCAGTGAGGGCTGCAGCCCTGAAGAGACTGGGCAAGTTATCCAGGAAGGACCTGAGGCAGCCAAGAAGGGACCTAATATAGTGTTGATAATAATATATGTATATAATTGATGTCATTTATGTATAAGAATATGAAGTATAAATCAGATCAGCTCTATAATGGTAACTATAATAGCAAACACTCCTTGCCAGGCATTGTTATAGGTACTCTGTAGTTTTTAACTTACTAAATCTTCCCAACTCTCTGAAATCACTGCTATTAGTCTCCCCATTTTACGGATGAGAAAATTGAGTCACAGAAAGGTGAGGGAACTTGATGAAGCTCATTAGTAAGGGCAGAGCTGAGATTAAAGCACAGGCAATATGGTCCCAGGACTCATCCTAACAACTTTACCTTACTACGTTTACAATAGAGGCCCATTTATTACAACTGATTACTAGGACCTCAGGCCATGGTTGATGTTGAATCCCCCTCAGCACTGAAGGAAAAGTCTTTAAAGCCCTTCTTATGGAAGAAGGATTGGTCCTAGAGCCTGGGCTGGGTCCAAGCCTGCAGTTAGGGGTTAAGTGATGGCCTCTGTAGAGAGAAGCAGGATAAGGAACTAGGCAACTGCAGAAAGGTATTATTTTCTTCTTTCACAGGTAAGGAACCTGAGGCTCGACGAAGTGATACAATTTGGCTGAAGACCTAGTAGACAATAGAGTCAAGACTGGATCTCAGACCTGATTCCAAGATAGAAGCTGTGAACTGGCTTTTGGAAATGGGCAGGCAATACCAAACAGTAAGTGAACTGGGAAATGGGGTAGCAGAATGGTTAAAAATACGTGCTGACTGGCCAAACTCGTTATGCCAATTACCTTATGATCTTGAAAGAGCTACTTAACTTTTCTGGGTCTTAAAATGCTTACCTATAAAACAGGTTTAGTAATAATAATAATGTCTGCCTCTTGGAGTTGCTATGGGGATTATATGAAACACTGTGTGTGTAAAGATCTGATAGCCCAGCATAAAGTAGGTGCTCAAGAAGTGGCAGCTATTGAAGCAGCCATTCCTCTTATTCTACTGCTAAGTGCAGACAAGCTCTGAGGCAGCCCAGAGCTTTCCCCTGAGCCATTTCACCTCTTGACTCAGAGAATATCAGTGCTGAAAGGCACATTAGAATGTGTTTAATGTCTCTTCTTTAACAGATGAGAAATTTGAGGGTCAGAGCAGTTACATATGTTGCCCAAGGTTTTACAGCTAGTTACCAGGAGAGCAAAACCAGATCCCTTCTTTGTAACTTAAATTGTTTAAAAAGCTGTTAGGAGCAGGTAGAAAAGAAGAAAAATACAAAGAATTAAAAGGCAGGGTATAGCTCAGTGGTAGTGTGTGTGCTTAACATACATGAGGTCCTGAGTTCAATCCCTAGTACCTTCATTTAAAAAATTAAATAAACTTAATTATCTCCCCCCACTAAAAAAAAGAAAAAAAAATTTTATGTAAAATTGTGACAATCTCAGGTAGCTCTTCAATCAGTGATGTAAGGTAGTAGGAAAAGAAGACCTGCCACACCTGAGAAAAGCAAGATGACTGATGACACTCTGTACAAGTGAAGGGACGCTTCCCAGCCAGCAGGAAGTATTGCTTTCAGATACTTATCCCATATCATCCCACCCTTAGTTTGTAGTATAGTCTGTACTGAACAAAGGAAACTCAACCTTGGGTGATACACAAGAGAAGTTAACAAAAGGGTGGGAACCAGTATCTTGGACAGCATATGGTAGGTATGGATTAGTGTTTGTAAAAGGATCAGAGGCAAAAAAAAAAAAAAGTCCTTTTATAATCCTTGAATGGATTGCCTTCACTTGCTAAAAAACTGGCTGAAAGTTGAATGAAATTAACAAGCAGTTGTTAGATGGAGATGCAGAATGTTAGAGGTGTATTGAACTGAATAGGTAATAGAAATCTTTGAGAATGAGGTTTGAGGAAAACAAATGTGTGTGTTTGCACACATACACACATATATATTTACCTAAGAGTGCCTATCTCCCCCTTTTGCAGTTAATTTAAGAGCTGCCCTCAAAGGCAAATTAAATTGTGTCCACTGTGCTATTTACAAGTGTTGGGGGAGGTTTTTGGGCATGATGGGAGATGTGGTGGGAGTATGACAGGGCAAGGCAGTTAAGGATTAAGGAACAGAGATTCCAAAAAGAAATTGCTGGGTCCACCTGCTACACATTAATTATGCAACAATTATTGTCTATTTAGTGTCACTGCTGCATCTTTTAAGAAAAAGAAGTACATTTGGAAAACGTTTGACTAGTCTACTCACCAAAGAAAGAAAAGGTTAGAATTTTGTGTTTTCTTAAGCACATATGTTATTAAAAGAAACCAATACAACCCCAAGTGATTATTAGGTGAAGAAATCACCTAGACTTCAAAGTTTTGCACTGGCTAGAACCAGTGTTCTAGTCCTGCTTGATATTTTTAAGCACCAAAGTTAGGTTAACTTGCATATTGTTTTGCACAGATTTGCATTTTGAGTTAAAGAGGCACTTGATACAAATATGTAAAGGAAAAATGCAGGTAATTTTGCAAACTATCCACTATCAGCTGTGCCATCAAACACTAATAAGATGGATCTCAAAGATCACAGGTCTTCCTGGAAATGTTCCTGCAACAAGAGAACCACAGGTGTTATGGAAAAAGAGAATCACCCCAAAATTACAGATGATGCAGAATTCCAATCTAAATATGTACTTCTAATGAATGATGCACACATATTCACATGTGACTACCATTTCAGATGCTACCATTCATTGCCTGCATGGTAGGGCCACCGGTTCTTCTATACAGGGGGCTGAAGTTAGGTGTTCTGCTCAGCTGGAGACTTTCTTATCTTGTGAAGACATTCTTGGGGAAGCCCAGTTTTTGTCTGTCTTCTTATATCTTCTAGTCTTGGAATGTTGATGGTGCTTGTACTCTTGTCTTCATGGAACATTAGCAAGTTCACCTGCCATCCTTTCTAGCCTTCTTCTCCCTCAACTTTTTTCATAGATACAATTTTAGCTTGGTGGGCAACTATTAATGTTTGTCTAGGAGCTGCTGGGTTAACAGGGTTTTGCTGGGATTTTCTGTGTTATGCATTAGTCTCTTCCATATATGAAATTGCCTTGGCCATATAAAGGTACATAGAAGTAACTAGGATGCAATTTTTATATACCTTTTTTAGCTATGTTGGTCTACCTCTAGGGAAAATGTTATCAACAGTCTCTTGTTTAAGTAAACTAGATAGGAAATTAGTAGCGGCTCTTACAAAAAGGAAGATTGGAATTGGAGCCTTTGTTAACAGATTAGACCTCACCTCATTTCATTTCTTATGGAGTGAAAATGCCAGCTCCATTGGCACCAAGTATCTGGGGTTTACAAGGAACCAGAGAGGTAATAACTTCTCTTGTGAGAAGAGTGAAGATTCCTGAGAGAGGGAACATGGGCACAAGTCTGTAGATCTTGGAAGGGGGTTGTAAGAAAATAAAGAGAGATTAAGGAGAGAAGGATCAACAATTCAGAACACCCTCTTCCAAAAGCCTCAATCCTTTGAGCCCTTCTGTGTAGTACACAGTGGGGAAAGTTAAGTTTAAATTGCTACTACCTCTGTTTCTCTCACACTGCATGGTTCTTTCTGAAACATGTCTGGTCCTAGGGCCAAAGTCTCAGGGCAGAAAAGAACAATCTCCAGATACTGCCAAACAGTGCAGACTTTGCTCTAGTGATAAAGACAGCCCAGAGGCCCCCAGCCCTCCAAAAAGACCAACAGTAACAGTGCCTCCATCTTTCTTTCTTGGTGGAGAGGCTCAGTAAATTAAGTACTTCAGTGATCCACAAAATATTGAATTCTTCTTCAATCTGCATGAATTTTGTCTTTCAGTTTCCAGAGCCCTTGAGAAACTAACATGTTGATTCTGAGAATTTAAAAATTCGTGAGTTTCCTAGGAGCCATTATGGGAGGTTTGTTTACCTACTGCTATTCTTTGGGGTTGTAGAATTTCTTTACTTAGGTTTTCTTAAAAACTTCAGGAAAATAAAAACACTAAAGGGAAATACAGGAAAGCCTCCAAGACAAATGACCATCCACAAAATATAGAAATGCTTCCAGGACAAATGACCATCCATAGGAGTGCCTTCAGGACAAACAAAAATTTGGGTTACACAAATGAAACCTACTTACAATATCTTAAATCTGATAGCAACTTTACTAGATTTAAGATAGTGTATAGAGCAGGATATTGGTTCTCAAATGTTAATGTGGCTCAGAATCACCTGTGGAACTTGCTAAAAGTGAAGATCACAGGATCCCACCCCCTGAGATGCTGGAGTAGAGCCCCCAAATCTATGTTTTTCATAAGCACCATAGAGCTTGTTGCAGGTGGTTCAGTGAACCAATTGTCAAAAGACCTCAATTTTCCTAAGAGCCTCAGTTCTCACCTTCTCTACTTGCTCTCCTTTCCTTCTCCCACTCCTCTGAAACAGCTCTCATCAAGGCCACTAGGACCTCCATGTTCCCAAGTCCATGGTCAGTTCTGATCCCCATTTTGCTTAACCTAATGGCAGTGTTTAACACAGCTGGGGACTCTCTCTCTCCCTTGAAGCACAACCTCCACTTGGCTCAAAGGGTATTCCTCTCTCTTGTCGTCCCTCTCCCTTTCTACTTATTCTTTCTTAGTCTCCTTTGCTGTCCTTATCTTCCTAATTTCTAAACCTTGGAGAACCCCAGGATTTCAATCTGTAGACCTCTCCCCTTCTCAAGCTACACTCACTTCTTTAGTATTTTCATCCAGTATGTTGGTTTAAATAACCTGTAAATTTGTATTATAGTCCACTCTGCTCTCCTGAGCAGAGTTGTATGGTCCAGTTGCCAACTGAGCATCTCCACTTAGATGTCTAATTGGCACATGTTAATGTGTCCAAAACCCCTGCCTTATACTTCCCCTCTCAAAGCCTGCTCCTTCAGCAGTGTTTTTCAGCTTAATAAAGGGCAAATTTTTTCTTTCAGTTGCTGAGTCCAGAAACCTGACTCATCATTGACTCCTCAGTTTCTTCACATTCCACATAAAAACATCAGCAAATCCATCAGCTCTACTAGGAAATACATCCAAAATCCAACCACTTTATGCCATTTCCAATACTATCACCGTGGTCTAAGCCATGGTCATCACTTAACTGGATTATTACCATAGTCTCCCAACTGGTCCCAGTGCTTTTACTAATTCCTGCTTCCTCTGCTCTATTCTCCACCACCAACCAGTGTGATCCTCTTAAAACACAAGTCAAGTCATGTCATGTCTCTCCTCTGCTCAAAACCCTCCAAAGCCTTCTTGTTTCAAAGTAAAATCCAAATTCCCCACATAAGACTATAGTATCAAATCCAGTGCTACCTGTCTGACCTCATCTTGTGCCATTTCCCCCTCAGCCTTTGCACTAGCTATTCCTCTGCCTAAAATCATCTTCTCCCATATAGCTGTGCTTGCTCCCTTACTTTTTTTAGATTTCTGTTCAGATGTCCTCTCTTTAGGAAAGCTCCCTAACTGTGGCAGGCAGTTTCTTAGATGGTCCTGAGTGAGCCCCACCTCCTGGCATTCGCACTGTTACATAATCCCCAAGACTTGAATGTGGGCTAAATTTAGTGACGTGCCTCTAATTCTGTTCACTAGAGAGTGGTGATGGGATGTCATTTCCGAGATTAGATTACAAAAAGACTATGGCTTGCATCTTGGGCACTCTCTCTCATCTTTCACTTGCCTG